CCACCACGCGGTCGCCTCCAGCCAGGTCATTGACAAGCAAATGGAGCGCGACGCGATAGACGTGGCCGAGCCATCTCAACTGGCGCGGCAAAACCAGTTTATTGCAGAGAATACTCGCATTCCCCAAGATGCGACGTCAAACGTCATCACTGTGAACACGATGTTACCACCGAACACGAGTGATCCTCCTTAACCAACCGTTGTCGAAGTCAAAAAGACGACGCATGTCTGCCACGCGAATTGGCCAGAACTCGCTCCCATACAACAAAACTGAACAAACAGATGCGCTGTAAACGTAGCCATTCAGCGAGAATGACACGTTGCGACGACGCCAAAATGCCTCAGATAAACAACTACTGTTCGAGCTTTAGCGATGCAAAGAGAAACATCCTTGGTGATAGCGCTGTCAACAGAAACACAACTCCCAAGGTAGACGAAACTACCTACCTGGCCAAGTTGTGCACCTTCAAGAGTGAGCACGGTAGAAGGTGTAGGCCAATCCTGGAGCAGTAATTTACACTTCGATGAGGCGAAGCTCTTGCCATACTTAAGTGCTTCAACCGCCAAACGATCCAGAATGAGTTCCATACCCTGAGGACCGTCACCAACTAAGGCGATATCATCAGCATAATCTAAGTCGGTCGCGCATTCACCCGGTAAAAGGTTTAGGCCAAAATATGGGAAACATTCCAGAGCACTCGACAGAACGTCTTTGATTGCGAAGTTGAAGAGGAATGGGGACGTAGGGCAGCCCTGTCGTACACCGCTATTGACAGCGAATGGCGAGGAAAACTTGCCGTAGACCCTCACCCTGCCGGATGTATGAAGGTAAAGTGCATGTAAGATGGTGATATACTTCTCTGGCACCCCATTCTTTAGCAAGCAACGCCATAAAGCAGGTCGAACCACGGAGTCAAAAGTGACACGTATGTCTAGAAATGCAACGATAGTGGGCCTGTGCTAAATGTGGCGATGTTCGAGAAGTTGACAGAGTGTGATGATTTGATCCACTTCTCTGCGGCCGAGGTGGAAACTAGCTTGTTCTTTACAGTGATATGATTCACGTATTGGGGATAGTCTACGAAGCAGAATGGATGCCAATAGCTTGGAGACAATCAAAATAAGATTAATCCCGTGATGATTCACACATGAATTGCGAGCGTTCTATTTGAAAATCGGGACAAAAACTGATTCGCCCCAAGAGGAATGTACTTTCTCTTCATGCCAGATTTTGGCGAACAACGAGGTCAGCTGGTTAATGGTCGCCACGCCGTAGTATCTGTACAGCTACGGAGGAAGTCCGTCTGATACGGCAGCCTTGAACCGCTTCAAGCGTCGAAACTCGAAGCAGACTTCCGCTCCGCTGGGTGGATTAAGTGGGACGAGCGAGGGTAGGCAACAAGGTGTGCTGCCTGTACTGATGGATGGAGGCCCAGCAGTCCAAACGCCTCTGTTGGTTGGTGATCGGAGACCCATCCGCCTCGCAAATAACCTCACTGACATTAGGCTTCCTGATGTCAGTAGACCGAATGAGTTGGAAAAGCTTGCGAATGTTGCCAAAGTGGGCAGCAGCCTCTGTCTCTGAGGCACACTCATAACGCCATGCGTCGCGATCCTTGCGTAGGCTTCGCTTGAACAGCCGGTTGGTAGAACGGCGCCGCTCGTTGCTATCTGATTCCGCCGGGATATGTTTGCGGTATTCGAACAGCTCTAGAGAGCGAGCAGAGATCCAAGCCTTTAAGGGGCATCAGGCTAGGCCGCAGCTTGACTGTCCGGAAACGATCATCGTTTAATGCATACAAGTCCAGTGTTGCTCCACGTCTTGCGGTGGATTGCATTTGAGTGAGTATGTTAGTGAAGACTGATAGCTCCCCTGGACAGAGGAATCAGTTAATCTGTTTACATCAATCTTGTGGTGCTTCGTCTTGCGGGACCCCCAAAAACATATGCAGATTTTCGTGCAGACCAGTGCATGATCTGAGTCAACGAAGGTGGACCAAAAGGACCTGCAGTCCAGTACGCTGCCACACCATCTGTAGCTAATTACAATGTGATCAATTTGAGACCACGGTTGTGTTGGCGAAGGGGGGCGCCACGTTGCGGAATGCTTTTTCGTACGCCTGAAGTTGTGCTCGAGAGAAACGAATGGTTGTCTTCGCACAATGTGAGAAGACTCCGTTATCAGAGCGGTTCTCATCGAGCAGCTGGTGACCCCCAAGGTGATGTTCATATGGTAACAGGAAGCCAAACCGTGCATTAAAATCCCCAGCAAGGACAAGGACAAGCGACTTTTTAGTATTAGTCAAGAGCTGATATAGCCCCCGATAATAGTTGCCCTTGACCGAGCCACTACTGCAATCAGCGTACGCGGAGATCACGAACAAGTTGTCTCTCCTCGCGGCGCTTGTTGATTCTATATGAACCCGAAGCCGAACTGCACAGTCGGCTGTTAATCGGGAACCAGTCCAGTAGTGCCGCCTCGGCCTTGCCACTTAGTGTTATACCTACACCAGCCAAACCCGAAGAGGCTGCTTCTGGATCTCCAAAAGGACGCAGGGGATATCTGGCTTCGAGTCAGTGGGGGATGTCAATGTAAGCACAGTGGGGTCTTGTAATCGGGTTTCTGAAAGGCAGCAGACATCGATATCGAGGGGCCCTAGGGTGCGCGCTAGATCAGCTTGCTGTTCAATCTGCATGAGTGTCCGAACTTTGAAGTACGTCAAAAGGAACGAGGATCGCGGACGAAGAAGAGCCATAGGTTGAACACCGTGGTTCGCGGAGCAACCGGAATCGCAGTCATATCTCTGAACACATGAATCGGGTAACGGAAAGTAAGGATTATTAGCAAGTAAACAACTGGCGTGCGATGTAGTCGCGTGAATGCAAGAAGCAGAAACGGTAGTTGATGAGCATGCTTTAGCACAGTCTATGGTTTTGTGAGAGGGCGTCATACTACCTGGTTGCCCAAGCCTAAGTAGGAAGTTGAGTTAGGGGACCCCATCCAGAGCCTTTGCTACATAACCTACCCGTAAGGCAGCGGGGCGAATATAGGGAATATCGCCCATTGAGAATCGCTGACAGAATGTTCAGTATATAGGTCTTTTGTTTGGTAGATCACCAAACAGGAGCCCAATACTCCCCATGAAATCAGCACAATTGTTGGAATACAATGTCCCAACGAGGTGGAACACTGTCGCCGAATACTTCGCTGAAAAGTGGTACACCCGAACCACCCAGCTGGCACCACCAGGAGGTAGTTCGGCAAGCCAACCGAGCTTCGATGGACTAGAATCGCAATATCCAGGAGTTGTCTGGCTTGAGAACCGTAGCAAACCAAGGAGCAACAATTGAGTTCTCCTACATTCAAACAAAAACCCGTAACATTCACACTCTAACCGACTCGAATGAGCTAATATCTTCCCATGATTATCTGAAGAAGGTAGCCACTAACATCTTTCCAGTCACCATGATAGAGGTGGAGAGCTCTGACACAGAAATCAGTCCTACATGGATAAGCGTTTATTCGGTAAAGTCAACTTTGTAAAACTAGGCACGATCATATGCAGAACGCTTCGATGCATATTGTCCGTACGACAGGGTGGCCTTATGTCCCAGTTCCTCTATAACTTTGCAAGCAAAGATGTCCTCTCGAGAGCTCAAGGATGGCTTAGGGCTTCTATCGAGTGAGCGCGCGCGCGACCGACTTGTGCTGATGACATCGTCTAATGTGGTGATGGACCGCAGAGTATGCAACTCATTCGGTTGCAGCGCAAAGGTATGGCATGAAGTTCGCTTTGTGGAAGTGTAAAGTGATGCTCCACGATCGGCCCACATAAACTTCCGTGCTAACTCTTGAAGGTGCACATCACGGACAGGTAGATAGTTTCCCTTACCTTTAGGAGCCGTCATTGCTGGCAGCACTATCAACAATGAGGTTCCACTCCCTATCGCTAAGGCTCGATCAGCATTTGTCAAGCTGAGGAAATTGTGACGTCGTCAAGATGTCTCCATCTCGGTACAGGGCCACGATCACAGTGCCTCTGTTCGTACAGTTTTGCTGTAGGAGTGAGTCTTGGACAAATCGCGTGGGGGATATGGGCTATATATATATATATATATATATATATATATATATATATATATATATATATATATATATATATATACATATATATACATATATATACATATATATATATATGATCTGGCTAGGCTGCAAGAACTAAGAGCAGCAACTGCGGTTCTACCTAAGCTATTAAAAAGCAAAATGGAAATGTACAACTTACGAAGAGATGAACAATCGTAATCTGATATGAGTGTTCCGCGGATTCAGTGCCAGCTCGTTCAATTGTGCAATTCGCAGTGCGTTAAAACAAAGTGCACGGAGATTTGTGTTATTGGAATCGATGTCCATAAATAAACGGAATGTTGTATGGCAAAGACTAAGAAGAAATTGGAGAGCAGGGGGTCAAGTATAGCAATCAATCCGATCACTGTAGATACAAATGTGAATTTAAGATACATTACTTAAAAATAGATAGTATTTGTTATATCGGTGAATTAGGAATGTATAAAGGTGAAAGACGAACAATACGGAAGAACATCGTGCCGAGGAGGACAGATCGATCGGCAGCAGCTCAACATAGCAAGGAGATATGCTGAGCTTCATTATTTACGAACCACGTCAGAGCTCGTCGAACTTAAAGACAGGGATAACCACAGGCGGCTGACGAGGAATCAGATGAACTCTATGATTAGTTAACATGCTGTGATGTTATTTGGACCGGTAACAATCAAAAGCTGCAAGAAAGTTACCATGTGTCGCCAAAAACGAGCAAATATTCACATGGAGCGAGTGGTTCTAGGTTGACAGCTTCACTGTCACTCATCTGGGCTTGTTCAGCAGTTGACACACGTACAAAACTCAATGCATGGTAAAATGTCGTTTATTGAATGAGTTAGGTAAGATATTCAACGGGTAATGGGGAAAGCAGGTGAAGTTATTTATCCTCCAACTTTGGTTGCGTTTTAGCCGCCTCGGAGGCCCACTTGTTCTCCAAGGCTTTGCGTGACTCTTCTCCGGCTTTTGGATCACGAAACGCGGGAAACGTTTCCCACGAGTTGTCGAATTCAAAGTAGCGAAATTCTTGGCTTAACTCTACGGGTTCGATAACCACGCGTTTGTATTCATCATCGAATCGCATCTGTCAAATGAATGGTGAAGTAATATAATTAAACAACCGAGATGAATGCTCAATTTAGCGGAAACGTGAAAAATGTCACCACATGTCAGACGACCATATGGAGGTTTAAAAGTTTGATGGAGAGTTTAAATATAGAAAGTGAGTCTTGTCAGCAACGCAAGACGTGGAACAACCGAAGGTATAGACCATAATGGTCAGTGATGGTCGGACGACATCTGGCGATAAGCACTGGGGGTAGGCCTCGCTGCTAATTATTTCAGTTGATTGGTATCTCGTTTGAATCACTAAGCAAAACTAGGATACCGAAAGGGGTGACCAAACTAAGGCCCGCGGGCCGGATCCAACCCGCGACGTCAGTACATCCGGGTCACCGACTGTACCCGAATTTGCTTGGTAAGGCCTATGGATCACGAGGCGATGTGATACAATTTACACTTGGCACTGCATGATATGTCGTGATCTTATTCTTTGTGAACACCAACGTGCGTCAGCTCAAGGTTGTTACATGCGACACCGTGCTACCGTCCTATCTGTGAGCCCACATGGCTGGAACATTTATGTGCGCGATACCACATGAAACTCATTGATTCGTGCACTCTACGATGTTTCTGCATAATTTACATCTATGTGCCGCTTGAAGCACGTAACATATAAAACGCCGCTTATTAAGACGCCAATAGTTTATACATATGCGGAGTTGTAGTGCATGACGACGGCTCTCGCGTCGACAGAAGCCAAATTCTGATTCAGCAACAACACAAACAAGGCTGTTCGTCTTTTCCAGCCTTCACCAGGGATGGAGTAAGTGGGCCTGCCACAAATTCAGGTTGCTGATTACGTGATGGAGACAGCATCGAAATTTCGCCAACTTAGGAGCGTAATATCAACCGACTTGCATATGACGAGTGAGCTGCGCATCTGCGTATCGACGGAGGCTGCTGTGTTCGGATGACTAGAAAAACGTGTGTGGAACAATCACCAGCTTACTGTTGGAACGAAGCTGCTGGTTTACAAGTCTATGCTGCTGTCCGATCATCTTTAAGGGAGCGAAACCGGGAGAACGTCAGATATCTGGAGCAATTTCATCAACAGTGTCCGCGACAGATTCTGTGCATCGGTTGGCGAGACAGTGTTGCAGATACGGAAGTGATCAGACGCAGTGGCATGTATGCAGTGGACTGCATACTTCTGCTGCGGCACCTGAAGTGGCTGGAGCATATCAGCCGAATGAATTCGACGAGGCTACCCAAACAGCTTTTGTACGGCCAACTTAGCGCAGGGAAGCGGCACGCTGGGAAACCGAAGTAACGTTACCAGGACATGATCAAAGTAAGTCAAAGGCAGCTGATTCCCGTGAACGGAGTGGGCTGATCAGGAAGGTGGTATCCCATGTGCAGCCGAAAGCACTGCTATATGCGAAAAAGAAGCGCCATGTACGGAAGCGACAGGGGACAATGGAGGCTACCCCATCGATGTCAGGCTCATGGCGCAGTAGTACATGCGCTCGCGAGTGCCTGAACCAAGCGGGCCTAGTAAGCCACTAGTAGTGCCACATGAAGCCAGCATCCAAAAGACAAGGAGCCAACTGATTATCTAAGCATAATCAGCGCAGCGATTGATAGTTGCGCTGGGTCCTCGTGAATTTGATTTACTAACCCAGGCCAAATCAGGCGGATGATGTGGTAAGTGTGCCGCATCGTCGTTGAAGTTGGTCTGTAAGCGTGGCTGCGTGTTGAGTTTCTTGCATTTCGGTGGTCGGTAGATGACTGATATCCCCGATGTGGCTGTGCCTGATGTGAATGTTGACAAGGTACCTACCTGTCTATTAACACGCCACCTTATCAATAGTGCATCGAGTAGACAGTTGCTTGGTACTGGGGGAGAGTGCACGGTGCTTGGCAATGTGGTTCCATTCAGTGTAGAGCGGACTACGGCCCACCCACCACCTTAGGTAAGCCTGGTACACGTGATTGCCCACTTAGATAAACAGGAATGCCGCTATTGCTGTGCATGTTGAGGGAGCTTAGGCTGGTTACGTTGAGGAAGCGTGGCTCCCATCCACCTACCTCACGATTTTACTCTTACGGGTTTATACTGGATAAGGTGTGCGTGAATAGAGGTGGCTGGTGCAGCGTAAGCCACCAATGGTCCATCTGCATACGCAGGCGTCTTGCAGCTATCCCCGTGGAGCCAGCAGCGATAGGCAAATCCGAACACGGATGCCGCCAACTCATTCATCACCGTTATTCTACACGTTAGATAGATGTAGGAACAAATGAGATCATGGTTGGAAAGCGAAGCTAAAAGAGATGAGGAGACATAGAAACTCACAGCAGGAAAGCCAGTGAGGTCGGCTCCTAGCCATACCAACAAGTGTATCTAGCCAAACGTGTTCGTCGTCTTTCGGACTCAAACCAGGGAGCCGAGACGTTGATAGAGAGAGACCAGCTACGAAGTGAGAACCTTCATTAGTCACGATCAAGTTATCGCTTAGCCACTTCTCCTCTTCTTCTATCCACACCCCGCGCAAACGACGCACGTCACGGGAGTCGGTGGGCTGGCATGCACAACACGTGAACGAGCCACCGGAGACTGGTGCGTGAAACGGCGGTATGAGCGGTTCAGTTCCTTTTCCTGTGCCGTAAACAAGGTGTCGAATACGCTGTTGCTCACTCGGTGCGAAGGCACCGGTGATCGAACGTGACTAGCCTCTTTAAGTCGTTGATCCAAGGGGCCAGGCTTCACAACCGTACAGTAGAGTCGAACGTACCTCTGCATTGTACACTTTACCCTTCAGAGCGAGAGTGTTGTCGCGTCGGCGCCATAAGTGGCGAAGGTTAGCAAAAGCACCTCGAGCTTTTGCTATACGGTTCGTGATCTCTTCTTCAATCCCAAGGCGCTGAAACAACCTCCTAGGTAGCTAAATTTCTGAAAGACTTCTAGCTGATCCACACCAATGGTCAGTACAAAAGGCGGTCCAGTCCAATCTTGCATGAAAGTTTTGCACTTAGATGGTGCAAAGAAAGGTCCGAAGTGACTGACAGCCAGTGTTAATCTGTCCAGTGCGGCTTTGCATGTCTGTGAGCTGTCACAGATTGGGGCAATATCGTCGGCATACTCCAAGTCAAGAAGTCGTTCACTTGGTTGTAGCTTCACGTCTTCTAATGTGAATGCAATCGCCGTGACTTCGTCAATAGCGAAGTTGAAGAGGAAAGGTGACAACGGACATCCTTGTCTCACACCACTGGAGATATCAAAAGGGGCGAAAGCTTGCCGTAAGCCCTCAGCCCGCTCGTGCTACGTACGTTTAGTGCGTGGATAATATTTACATATTTCTCGGGCATCCCTTTCCTGATTAGACAGTCGCAGGGGGCACGTCTATCCACCGAATCGAATGCACCTCTTATGTCGAGGAACACGACAACGGTGGGCCGCCAATATATGTGACGGTGCTCCAACAACTGACGAAGTGAAGATGTGCTCAATGCAGCCACGATCTCGACGAAACCCGGCTTGCTCTTCACGAATATGGCTTCTACAAGTGCCAGTCAGTCTATGAAGGATGACAGAGGCAAGCAATTTGGAGGCAATGAAGATCAGGCTGATTCCTCTATGGCTGCTGCATTCCGATCGTGAGCCTTCCTTGAAAATTGGGACAATGGCGAAGCGGCTCCAGTCGGTTGGGACAGTCTCCTTCTCCCACAGTTTCACTTGTAACTCGTATAAATCATCCACTAGAGCAGGTCACCCGAATTTGAAGAGGGATGGAGATAGACCAACTGGTCCCGCAGCTTTATGTAACTTCAACAGTCCGATCTCACGTTCGACTTGACCGAGAGGGTGGATCCACGGGGATAGCCGAGGGATCGGGGCGGTCAGTGGAAGGAGGGGAAATCTAGCAATTCCGACCGATTAAATTGTCTTTTAAAGTACTCAGTCCAACGCTCGAAGCGTTTTAACAAGTTGTAGATAG